TAATGATTTGAAGCCCTAATTCTAATCCAGCCACAGAAGCCCTCGTGGCGTATGGGGGGTTTGAAAATTGTGGTTAACCATAGCTGAGTTTGATGGCGGAGAGCATGTTTTGGTGTTGAGGGTCTCCTAGAAAAGCTCTGTTGGCAATGAGTTAAGGATTTGGGCTGCTAACCAAAAGGTCAGTGGTTTGAACCCACCAGTCACTGTGGGTGAGACGCGCCACTCTGCTTCCAGATTTACAGCCTCAGGCGTTCTACTGTAGTACAAACTGGCTGCGGTGTTGGAGTGGACAAGGGGGTAGTAGTCCCCTTCCCTCCCCCTAGGCTCCAAGAGAGAAAAAGCCCGATCTCCTCTCACAGTTCCACTGTCACAGAGGTCACTGCGAGTGGGCATGAACTTGACAGCACCCAACCCCACTTTTAACGAGTTTCTCTAATTCAATGACGTAAACCTGAGTGGTCCTGGGACCAGTGGTGCAAACTGCATCAATGCAATAACCATGGGGGAAAACATTTTTTTTAGTTCAATTTTGTTCCACATACTGTGCTTACTGTAACAGAGAACTGTTGGTGTTGATTTGGGAAAGGGCTGTGTTCTCCAAATACACAAGTTTATAGTTAAGAATCACCTGGAGCACTTTATAAATACCGAGTCCTGAGTTCCACCCTAACTCAAACACATCCCTAGGGAGACTTTAATAATCACCTTTAAATTAAACAAATAAACCTTTAAATAATCACCCCAGGCCATTATTCTAATCAGCCAACTTTAGTTACCTCTGAAAATGCCTCTCGCTCCTATCGGAAAGTGGCTAATATATAAGCCCTAAATATTCATGGAGCTATGTTTATGGGGTGGCTCTGTCCGGTAAGATTTGAACTGCTAAACTGCTAGGCTTACGGTTCAAATCCAACCGTCGCTCTGCGGGGAAAAGTCGAAGCTGTCAGCTCCTCTACAGATGTAGGGCCTGAAAATGCAATATGGGGTCACTATCTAGCTGAGTCGACTTTATGGCAGTGGGTTTGGCTCTAGTCCTTTCTGTCTTAGTAATATCGATCCCATGAGCTGCCCAAGAGTCACTTGAAGAGATCGGGTTGGAAACGGGATTTTAGCGGTGCTTTCTTCCCGTATTCGTCTCCTGGCCGGCCTCCAGCCTTTCCCGGTTTGCATTTACTCAAGCACCTTCTCGCTGACCTCCGCCTCGGGTGGAGAGCGTCCCGTCACTCCGTTTCCGAAGAACATCTGGTGCTTTCCTGGTTCAGGAGGCCTTGCTGGAATAGCCCGTTTCCAGGGATTTTACAGGCTGCCCGAAAACAGTTTGTTCGGAACAGCGACGCCAGGCCCGCAGGTTGGCAGCCAGGCGGCCGGGAGTCTCCTGACTCGGCACAGCCACCCGTGACCTTGAGCGAGCGCCGCCCACCCGCTGCCACGGCGACGGCGGCCACGGGACGCTCGGGCCGGACGCTACGCCTGGCAGAGGGGAAGGCGTCCCGACCAACAGGGAGAGGAGCCCCGGAAGTGAGAGGCCTTTGTGTTCCTCCGACGAACTCGCTCTCAGGGTGGGGGTGGGAGAAAGAGGGGGAGGAGCTGGCTGCCTAGGGCTCGAGACAAAGCGTGAGAACTTACGGGCGAAAAGCTAGCGCGCGAGAGAGAAATTGGCAGGAAGGGAGGCTGAGGGCGGACAATCGGGTTAAAAATAGCCACGCACACGCCACGGGACCAGCCCTCCTCAGCTCCACCCTCAGGCCGGCCGCCCCGGGCAGAGACTCGGCTCGGCGCGCCACAGCGCCGCCTGGCTCCGCCCCGCCTCCCGGCCACGG